CAAGTGAATATAAGTAGGTATTATTTATATAACAGTGATTCTGAAAATATTCTAATCACCTCTTTTGCTCTGATCACACATTCTTACCTTTTTCTGTAAACCACTTTTAATTGTCTGGTAACAGAACCAATAATTCAAAGCTTCTTAGCAAACATAAACAAGCAGTAGCACTGAATGGGGAACTACAGGATGTCATCCAGTGCGGGTAATAATTGCAATATTGGTTCATGCTGGGTCCTTGAAGCAAAGACTAACCAAGAATACATTACATGAGAAGCAGGTAAAAAGTGTGTTGTTCTGGGTGGAATTCTTTCCATTCATTTCCTTTTCCGTTTCTTCTTTTTCCTCTGCTTTTTTTTTTCTTTCTTTCTTCTACATGTGCAGCCTATATTTTCCAGACCAAACCAACCTGAAATACAATCCAGATACAATTCAGATAATAAGAAAAATATCATTGCTACGCACTTTTTTCAGTGGAATCCCTGGAATGCCAGACCTCCTCTTTAGTTGTAAAGCTTTCAACAATATATGAGATTGTATCTTAGTGATTAAAGGCACAGACCCTAGAGCTGGTTGCCTGAGTTCCAATCCTTAGTAGATAGGTAGTCTTGGATCATTTCTAAGCTCCTCTTGTCTAAGTCTCCTTATGTATAAAATAATAAAATCTAAATAATAAAAAAATCTTACATCATAGAATTATTGTGAGGCTGAGTTAATGCATATAAAGCAGTTAGGACAATGCCTACCATGGAGTATGCAACAAATATGTTACCTATTGTTAGTATTGTTGACTTTTTTTCTATATACTCACACATTGAGAAAGTGTTTCAAGCCTAATTCTGTTGCTTGAGTGTCTCTCTTTATTTCTATCTCTTTTATAACTTTTATTTAATTTAATATTTCAGTTTCTTAAACTCCCCATGCAACATGCTCACCACTACTACATCACATTCAGATTTTTCCCCTGATATCTCATCAACTAGGATCAGCTAATGAGCTTCAACTTGCTACTTCTTCAAGCAGGTTTCTTCTATCTGAGGCACTGCACAGTGGTTTCAGGAGCACAGTAGTGTGAGGGACTTGGTCTCAAAGCAGAGCCATAACTCCCAACATGTTCAGCTATTTCTGCATCATGAGCTCTTTAAGATGTTCACACAAATAGCTCAGCAAGACAGGTGCCCAAATACCTGATTTCCCATGTTGAGCAAGCTGAGTGTAACCACTGCTGAGGTTTTTCAAACAGAAAGTCACTTTTTGGATCTCATGTTTCTATTAATGAATGAATTAGATACAATCAGGTCATTTTTCCATATGAAAAGTACAAGTTTCTCTATGCACATATGGCACAGTACATGTCTAAATGTATAGTACTTCCAATTTTAGTGCCAGCTTCACTCTTTATTTTAGAACTTTGAGATTTTGTCCCAGCCCCTGCCACATTGATGTTTGGCCTTGTGTTTAATTTTCTGTTTGTAAAGTACAGGTAACTGGTCCTTCCTCACAGAATTGTTGAGAGTTGAATAGAAAACCTCTGTAATAATGTTACTAGAACTCCTCAAAATATTACTTCAGAAGTTCAAGATCTCGATATAGCAAAAAATATTTGGAGTGAATGTTTGAAATTTCACATCCATACAATTTTAAATAGTCACAACCTGTTGGATTTGTAGTGAATTTCTCTAGTTACAGTTTGGAATGGTCAGATTATTACAGAAAATAAAATAGATGCCCAGTAATAGTGTTTGCTTACAAGTTTTATTTTAAAAAATACTTAGATTTCTGTAGTTTGCTTTAACTGTGGAGCTTCGACCCTTGAAAAACATTTTAATGACATGTAACAATGAGTTGTTCTTCTGACCTTTATAAATTCATTTTATTACCACATCTCTGGTTTATCTCTCACCCATACATGCACAATGGCATGAACACACATACATGTATAGAAAGATTTATACTATTTGTTTTATACTACCACTAGCTACTATGATAAATTTTGTAACTGCAGCATTTATAGATTTTTTTCCTGCCTTTGTCCACCATAAATTATTTTCTTCTGTTGATGATAGTCTAAGATTACCACAACAGAAATTTTGAGGAGTCCTGTTTCTATTTCCTATATGACTCCAAGGTATAACAATTATACTTACTTTTAAAAAGAAAAAAAAGATCCTTTCTGGGAAAGTAAAAATACTTATGAATGATAATACACCTTCCTATTTGTAAAACAAACCCTGAAACTCTCTAAAGCCTGAAGTTCTAGCAATTACTAGATCACAGTTACACTTTGTCAGGATTAAATGTCTTACATCCTTGCTGGAAGAGAGGAGGATCCTAAGATTACAATATATTTGAACAAGAATGTGCTAACTTTGCATTATTTTCCATTCTTCCTGTCTTTGTCAGGAGGATGGATCCATGCTGTGCTATTCTCTATTCTGGTTGCCACCTTTGTCATGAGAATGAGACACCACAATCAGAATGTTTCCTGTGAGATATAATAGCATGCTTTCCTGCTCCCACCTCTCAGGAGGTTGTATTTAGTCAGGTTAGAGCCTCTGAATCCCTTAGGGCATCAGCTCCACATTCACCATTCATGCAAAGTGTCCTTTTTCTTTGTATTCATTGCAGAAGTATTTGATGTCTTGGTCAGTTTTGTAGACCCTCTCTATCTCAAACACACCCCTTTAGAAAACTGTTATTATTTTTCATCATTATCAGGTCAATCAAATGTGTCTTTCAACCTGTGGTGTACAGAAAGCATGTAAATACAGAAATGGTTTAATTATTTTTAATAAAACCTCACAAATATCTCAACATTCCACTTATACATAGAAATATAGAACAAGTAGCAGCTATGCTTTTGGGAGAAGATGTGGTGAGATGGGCAATTAAATAAAAGGAGTTAATTTCCTTGAATATGTATCTATATTGTATTTAGAAATTTTCTACTTTTTAATTTTCATTTTGCTTGAGGGCCTATTTTTTAATTATTCTTGAATTTGCCTCTCATCCAGGCTAACATATAAATACTGTATTGTATTTTTTAGACATGCTTCTGTCCCATCATGTAAAATAAAACCTGCAGATACACATCCAAGTAGCCACTCATTTTTCACAAATGTCACAGAGTCAACATGATAAACATCTCTACAGTTGCATTTCCTAACATGGACAGAATTTCATATCCATGTAGGGCAATGGAAGAGGGCATGTTAAGCTAGAGAAATCCTTTTGAATTTGGAAAGTGTACAAGAAGGCAAAACCTATGTGAATCTAGACAATGGCATTATTTCCTATATTATATGAGAAATATTTTTTGAGTAACATTAGTCTTGGGTTTTAGTCTCTCTCTCTTTTTATTCCCAGAAGAAATTACCTGAAATTGAATTGTACATGGTCTTTTTCTAGGATTAAAATCAATATAGTTGTTATCAGCTTGGGCCCGATTGTAAGAAAAACACAAACCACAGTGTTTCAGCAGAGAGGTGTTAATGTCAGTGACTGGTGACCTAACTCTGGCTGACTGGGAAGCAACTCGTCCCTCACTGGCATTGAAGAGCCACTTGAGTCACAGCCACATCCTTCTCTTGACCCCTACATGAGGCTGTCTCTCAGATACCACTTGTTGTATTGCCGCCTCCTGTCATGATAAGCCTGGTGGCATCCATGGCAGCTCCACTGGCTTACTCTCAGCTCAGTGAGTTCTGTAAACCGTCTCCTCCTGGATAGTCAGAGAAAGGTGATTCTTTTCATACCTCACGGAAGCCAAGACAGGCTTATGTGCACTAACCTCAGGCCCTTCTTCTGCCTTACCTAGATGGGTGCAAATTTCCCATCATGCATGTCCTGATGGGTGCGGAGCCATCCTGTTGTGCAATCTCCATTTAGATTCCCAAATACCATCGTGGAAAAAGCTCCTCGCTGCCATTCCAGAGCCCCCTCAATCAACTAACTCACCTCCTCCCTGTGGGCTTCTGTCCAGAAAGGTGAGATCAGGACACACATTCCACTGGCAGCTTCACTTACCTGCCTTCTTCCTTCTCATTGAAATCTCCCATTCGGCTCTGTATGTTCCTTCTGTACATCACACTCTGGTGTAGCACACCAGGTCTATAGGTCAAAATACTCAGTGTGTGTAAGCATTTATTTAGAAAAGTATGTGTTCCTAGATACAGCTTTGTTTTAAATATAGTTGTCTTTAAGAAATGAAAACTATCCTATTATGAAGATCAGAAACTTTATAATTATCTAATCTTTCTTTTCTAAAGGTCCTAATTCATATCTCAACTCATAATAAATGGCAAGTCTGTGACTACGACAAATATGATATATAAAAAGATAGAAAGAAAAAAACCCCCACATTTTTATATTTCCGATTTCAAAAACAAAAATTTGGTAAAGAAGGGTGCCAGGCAAATAGGTGAGGAGCATCACATTAGAGCACTTTCAGCCCCACATCTGCTCACTGGCACTGGGTGCTGAATTACCTCGGAGTAGTGGGCATAACCAGGCTCTGACTTTTGTTGTCTCGCAGGTCTGAAATGAGAAAGATTTGAGATACAGTGTGCTTGTGCTTCAAGACTCAGGAGTGAATATCTCTGACAGAAATTGCAGGCTGTGAGTTTGAAGTCATTCTCACCCTCAAAGTTGTTTTTGAAGGGCAGTTCATTCCTTGGAGGCAGCAGATACTTCACTCCACTTGTATGGGAGGTTAGAGCTCTTTCTCAGCAGCTTTCCTAATATCCGGAGTTACTTTAGTTGAGAGATCTCATGTCTTAGGAGACCTGAGGAACCACTGTTACACTCATGTCTACCAAGCCTTGCAGTCCAAGTCACAGCTTGCTAAATGTGCGTCAGCCAGCCTTCCCCTGTGCACGTGTGGTCAGGCTAATTTTAGAGGCCAGATCCAGGAACACTGCCCATCTTTCTGCAGAGCCACCAACAATGGTGTCACAAAGCTACTCAACACATAATTACATTGCTCTTTTTTTTTCCCCTAGGACAGTGGAGCTTGCTTGCCTGATAGTCATCTGAGGGAAACTACTCGAGCTATTCTTCCAAGACCAGGAAAGATCATCTAAAGGTAATTTGCTTTTACACTTATATAGCTAGAGGTTTTTTTACTTCCCCAGAAGAAAGAAGAAAGCCTTCCTTCATGAAAGTTCTTAATTTGAAATTTATACATACATCTGTGTGGTTTTGGATTACTGTCTTTACCTCACCAGACATTACCATCACCAGATCTGCTCCACTGGTCCAGGTGCTTTGTCTGTGTGGCTCTCACTGTGTCCCCAGTACCTAACACAAAGCCTGACATGGAAACAGCTAATGAATATTCATGGATTAACAAATGAATAAATCTGTCCGGAGATGATGGTCTCCCCTTGGTATTCTGTGATGTATTTGGTACCATTTCTCACTAAAGAAGAGAGGGATAAAACACCAACTTAATCCCTGGCATGGTACTCTTCAAGTTGAAATATTTTCCTTTAAATAGATAACTTTTAAAGACTCAGATTGATTCAATTTATGAATAAAAATTTTAGGACATGACATGACTTAAGCCTACTTTTTAGATCAGATAGACTCATCAGTATTTATGCAGCATGCCAAATTGTGTTCTGCAAAAGAGCAGTTCTCTAGAATTTTACTAAGCAGTATGTGGAAAAATTAAAAGCAGATCAATTTAGAACCAATGGGATAAACAGAATTATTTATAGAGGTACTTTTCATAGCTTTCGAAGGAGTAACATACACAGGAATATAGTATACTGGTATTTCAAACTTATTTGATCAGGGAATTTTATTTTTATAGTAACTTGTCTAATACTTACATTCCATGTTGAAAATACTACATTAGAAAGTATTTTAAAATTCAAACCTGAACTCCAGAAAATAATGTAAAGCATTTTGATTATAATGATATGGTAGCAATTTGTACATTTTTAAGGATTCTACAACATTAATGCTATTTTCAGCCAGATTGTGAAACAGAGAATAAGTATGTTTTATCCATCATTGTTGCAAATCCTAGCACTCTGTAGTTCTTGGTACATAACAAGTGTTCAGGAAATATTTGTTTAAGAAAGGAGGCAGTGAGATCTGTATCAAACTAAAGTGTTTGCTATGTTGAGTGTAATAATTATAACAATACTGTTTGGTAGTCTGAGACTACTAAAGCATGCCAATGAAAATATTTGTTGTTAAAAGTTAAAAAAAATTCTCAAATCAGGAAGAAAAGTGCATATACATAGAAAAGGAAAGAGTAGATAGAGTAAATAAACTTTATATAGAAATATACTGAATCAATTAACAGGATCAGTTTTTACAAATAAATGCATAAAAGAATGATAGCACATCATTCTGATTAAGAAATAGAATAGGCCTCTCTGAAGACTCTACACCATCTTGATGTATATAGACCAAATTCTTATTATTAATAGTGTACTTCCTATGGAATAATACAGTAGATTTGGCTTCCTGGTTTTTGTTAAGTTCTGTGGAATCTACCATTGTGAAATAACCCCATTTGGTGACTGGCAGTTTTTCAGAAATTAAGATGCTGTATTTCTTAGACTAGACTTAGACATCAAAAAATGTACCTGCAAAATACCAGGCTAGGTGACAATAATGATTATAACATTCCAATGATCAATGTCTAAAGTGGAGTCAAGAAGTGATTATAATGAGAGCTTACTAACAAATTATTTTTGTGCTGTTTGTCCTCAAGAATTGGGAATACATCTAAACATCCCTAATTTGACTTAATTAAGCAGCAGCAGGCTCCTAAATGTGGTATTGAAGGATTTGGTAGAACGGACATTCATCAGATACTGATTTTTTCATTTGGAGATTTGAAATAAGTAAAGAAGATCACAAGTACCCTATTTTGCCTTAGTGAGTTGTTGAGGACAAAGGTAGTTCTATGTAAATGTTTTAAGGTGTGCAATGTGCTATACAAATGAAAAAAACATTCTGTATTAATTCATCTGGACAATTCTTGGAAATATATATATTTAAGGTTCATTATATTCGGAAATGGTTATTTACCTACTCTGTTGCTTTTCTTTTAGCCTGAGGAGTATCTAAAGATTTGACCCTTAGTTGAATTCTCCTCCTTGAAACATGAAACAGGGAATATGTTAGTTTGTGCCACATGCAAGATAAATAAGTGTCCCGCTGAGGTTGATATATAATGAATGTTGTGCCTATGCTTGGGGTGTCTAGACTGTTTACTGAGTAATTGGTAACTGATGAGTACTCAGCTGCATCAGAGATAGAATTTAGTTTCATACTTTTGAGCAGATTATGAGTCTAGCAAGATGGAAAAGCTGAGGGGACTCTGAAGCTGATGGCTTCCATGAGCCAAGGTGGTCCCTACCCACTAGATCTCATCTCCTCTAATAATGTGCATCCCACTTGGAGAAATTGGGACATTTGGCCTCTGTAGCTGGGAGTCACCGGACTCTCTGTTTTCCCTGGGCATGCCAGGTTTATGTACTCCACTGTGTGCTTTCTTAGAAGCTATGTGAAGGTCATTCTTAGAAGTTAAGTGAAGCTAATTTTGTTTCATGAGTTTCATGAACAATTCAAACCCAGGACTACTGTTGTTGGTCAAGCATAGTGAGTATTATCCTGTGGACAATAACTTAAATATTTTATCTAAAACCTTCCATTTAAAGATTTTGCTGCACTTCTAATATTCAATGATTTGACAAAAAAGTATAAAATTCATGTATTAGTTTCCTAGGACTGCTGAAACAAATTATCACAAACTGAGTAGTTTAAAACCATAAGTTCCAGGGATTAGGATTTGAGCACATCTCGTCAGTGGTCACAGTTCAATTCATAATAACTCATTATAATCGATTTCAGTCACAACCCCCTTAGTTTTGTTCTTGTCATTGATTAATGCATTCATTCATTTAGAACTATATGTTGAGGTGAGTACTTTTCTAGGTGCTCAGAATAAAGTAGCAAAAGAACAAAACATGTTCCCTTACCCTCGTGGAGCTTAGATTCTAATGAGGTTAGATAGGAATTACATAAATAAACACCGAATTTGTCAGATAGTGATAAATATTAGTGAAAATAATAAAGCAAAGTAGAAGGGTCAAGGCATGCTGGGTAGAGATTACTGTTTTATGTAAAGTGGTTGGAAAAGCCTCCACCAACAAGACATTCTCTGAATGAGGTAGGAAATCATAAAGGTTATGAACAGGGGAATGACAAGATTTGAGTTGTATTTATTTTAAAATTTTTATTGAAATATAATTGATATACAATAATATTGATTTCATATACAACATAGTGATTTGACGATTATATGCATTCCTAAATACTTTCCACACTAAATGTAGTTACCATCTGTCAACTAGATTCTTTACAGTGTACTTTCATTCCTGTGACTAATATATTTTATAATTGGAAATTTGTACTTCTTTATCCCCTCCATGTATTTTACCCATTCTCCCCTGCTTCCCCAGCCCACCAGGACAACCCAGTCTATTTTTTTGTGTTTATGTGTCTATTTTTCTTGTTTGTTAATTAATATGTACTGTATGTTTAGATTCCACATATAAGGGAAATCATATGGTATTAGTCTTTCTCTGTCTGACTTGTTTCACTTAGCATATTACCCTCTAGATCCATACATGTTGTCACCAATGGCAAGATTTCATTCTTTTGTGAGTCTTATATTTCACTGTATTTATGTACCACATCATTATCCATTTATCTATGATAGACAATTGGGTTGCATACAAATCTTGGCTATTGTAAATAATGTTACAATAAACATAGGAGTGCACATACCTTTACAAATTAATGATGTTGTTTTCTTTGGGTAAATGCCCATTAGTGGAGTTACTGCATCATATAGTATTCCTATTTTTAATTTTTTGAGAAACATCCATACTGTTTTCCATAGTGGCTGCACCAATTTTACATTCCCACCAATATTGTACAAAGGTTCCCTTTTCTCTCTATCCTTGACAACACTTGTTCTTTCCTTCTTTCCTTCTTTCCTTCTTTCCTTCTTTCCTTCTTTC